TACTTAATCCTTTTGGACTGGCACTAATCTTGTTGACATATTTACTCGGTGCTTGAAAAAAGTCATTATGATATCACAAGAGATGTGCTTGTATGGGGGCTGAACCATAATGAGTCAAAAATAATGTATTTGCTGAATGTTATTCTAATATAGGTGATGACAGATTTACTTAAATAAAATAGTTCAAGGCAATCAATAAAACTATGTAGACATAAGTTTTGTCTTATTGAATAGTATGTCTGGGAGATGGGTTCTTGTTACCTTAGGCTAGTATTTATCTAAAAGCTTTAAATCTAGTTCACTGTGTAGACATAACTTTTGTCTTATTGAATGGTATGTGAAGCCCATTTCTGGTGTCCCCTGCCGTGATATTGCTGGAGTATTGCTAAAAGCGGCGTAAAACCATACTCACTCACTACTGAATAGTATGTCTGGGAGATGGGTTCTTGTTACCTTAGGCTAGTATCTATCCAAGGCTGTAACTGAAACTACTTATATTTTGTGTCTGCATTTTTTCTGGATCCTAATATATATTACTTGCTGTTCTATAATTATATGAAAATTTGTATAAATGTTACACCATGATAATGTCTTAGACTAGAGAAAATGTGCAGAAAGTAGTGCAGAAAGTAGAGAAAGGGAATATATTACTGGTAAACAGAAAATCTGTTGCTTGTTTGTCATGTGTAGTCAGGCTGATGAGGTGAGAGAAGCAGAGCTCCAGATGTAGCAGTACAGGAACTGATAGTTAACTGCTTGTTAATTGAGAAGGATATTCTGAAGCTAGTTTCCTTCGCAGAGACCCTAGACTGTAACTGGTTCCTGCAGCTTGTTTGGTGTGTTCATTGTATTTAACAGAGCAGCATCTTTGCATATGTCGTGTATCAGAGAAACACAGTAGTACAGTGTATCATCTACACAAAGTAAGCAGTGATAGATACACATTGGTTCTGCATTTATTCCAGTGTGCATATATTTGTAGACACAACTGCCAAATTGAACCTAATGATCTGTACTTTGGGACTAGTCATCTACTTTTGGAGGAGGGAAAATCAGGGTAAAGTCAGTCAAGAGTATGATCAGTTCTGTTGGACAATTCAAAATGAATTCCACAGCTGCAAATTGTAGTACAGTATTATCGGTGGTTCGTGAAGGGAGCTAACTCTGTTTGCCTATTCAAAATTTCAAGGTGGGCCCACATTCGAAACTAAACACACTTGTTGAGAATATGTACCATGTTAACAAACCCGCATTACAAACTGCTATTTTGTCTGTTTAAAATAAGTATTATGACTTATAATTGGATTAGAATGTACAAATGCGATGACAATACAGCAGAACTCACTTCTACGAACACCGCCAAACTAGGTCGTGGGGTCATTAATATTCATGAGTTATTCCTTTTATGGAACAAGTTCTCGGAAACGTTTGAGGCTTGTATCATGTCCGAGATCAATTCAAGTGTAGACATATTTTCAGGCTTATATCACCACCAAAACTTATGATTAGATTGATGTGTTATACTGGCAAAAGTAGAATGAGTGGTATTGCCTCTGTAAATTATATTTGAAGTAGATCTAAGTTTCTTGCTTTGTAACTATTTTTGCAAAACTAGTGTGGTCAGCTATGATGACGTTATTCAAACTTCAAAGACTTTGTGTGCCTTTCGTGGAATTAACGTGACACTAAATGATTTATAAAGATATTTCCCATCAATATTACAAAATAAGAATAATATATAATGTGACACACCCATGCAAAGTAATGACAAATGTGAGCCCACTAGCCTAAATGACTTAGTCAACCCAGTGAAGCCCAGCGATTTACAAATGTTGGCCCACCTGTTTCGATCACTAGACGGGAACAATGTGGGCCCACATTTTAGAAAATGGTTATAAGTAAGCCAAGCTAATGAAGCTTAGCAATTTATAAATGTGGTCCCTCCTGTTGCAATCACTATGACAGAAGAACGTCTAACGTGGGCCCACATTTTAGAAAACGGTTATCAGCACTAAACCAATCTAAGAAGATGTACAGATGGAAACATAAATATATAATGCATTCAAACATTTAATTAAGAATACGTATTACCTTAGAGATAAGCTGGGCATTTAATACCTGGACCAACAACGTGACTGACGCCATTTCTCGCAAATACGAAAACAATGAGATAGCTCCCGTTTGAAATTAGAGTGACCTCCCTTTCCCAATATGAACCACAATAATACCGTTTTGCCGTAAATTCAAACCATGTGTCATAGTCTTAAAGTTCTTTTATTGATTTGAAGTTACAAAGAAGATTGTCATGATCACTACCTACAATGATTCAATGACATTTTGTGTCCATTTTGAAAAATGTAAAAATTAAAACCATGGCAATAGGGACATGAAATGGCCATATCTTTAAGGAAACACTTATGTATCGCACCATTTCATAATGAAATAAATGGAGTTAATCGAGTGAATTGATTCATATGATATTGATTCAGTATGTTTCATATTGTTTGGACTAACAAATGGAGTTAATTGTATGTAAGTTGGTTGGATTACGAGATCATGAAAGTCTGAATGTGCTTTCTTATTATGCAAACTTGGAAAGGTTAAGACTGGGTATTCTGAATGACAGCTATGGGCTGTACGACTGATTCCAAATGCGAAGCACTGTCTACCTCTCCCTTCATTGGGATAAACATTTGAAATGAGAGAGTCTCCAGAGCCTGTGGAAACTACTACCATACAATCTCAGCCATCTACATGTATTAGACTTTTCAAATTTTGGATCGACAACTTTATGAAAAAAAAATTCAGAGTGTAGTTTTAAATGGAAGTTGCCATTTTGAAACTACTCCCATAAAGCTTCAGAAATCTGCTTTCTGATTGGCTAATGTTGATTTCTTAGTCATTTCATTAGTTGGTCAAAGCTTGCGAAAGGTCGTTCAGATGTGACCTGGGATGTCCTCAGATCTTTGTAGGCTGGTAGCAAAGACTTAGATTTGATATTTTTCATGAATCATTAGATATATATATATTTAAAATTATCTGTATCTCTTTTAAAGTTGAAAAATGGCACATTGATAGAAAATATCATGCACGGTAACTAATACTTCACAAATTAAGTAAATTAAGTAAGCAAAAACTTTCTCTATTTAGCCTTGCGTAATGATTTTTGAATAAAACATGCACATAATTGATATATTTACTGCAATACAATGACAATCAATGTCAGTCATGTTCTGTTCTTTCTTCATGACATATTTACTGTTGGGTCAAAGGACTTGTTTAAATAACGAACCAGTCCTATGTAAATTGGGATGCTTTTTTAGTTTTGTCTGATGTTTGTCCACTGCCTCCACAGTTGGTTTTGAAACCATGTAGCTCCTGGACATCCCAGGGATATGATATATGTCTCCTTTATAGTCCTGGCATATGTTTGACAACTGACCGGTCAAGGTCATCCTCAAGCCAGACTCAAACTCTCATCGATCCCAATTGTGTTGATTGATGCTCTTGATATTAATCACTGGATTGTATGGTCCAGACTCGATTATTTACAGACCACCGTCTTATAGCTGGAATATTGCTGAGTGTGGCGTTCAACAACAAACCAAGCAAGTCAAACTCATTGACTGAAGAAAAGTTCTTTGAAATGATAATTCAAGCAGCATTGACTATATAATGAGGGTGAAATTTAGTACTTGCCATACTGGAGCAAGCTGCAGTCTGGTTGAATGATTATGTACAAGTTGAAGGTCATTCGTAAAGTAATTGTTTGTCATTTTCCCTAAAATGTATTTTCCCTTTTAAAGCTTGTCATAGTTATATTTAATTCCACCTGGGGCATCCTATTTGGCTAAGATGCAGGATAGCACTTTGGAATGTTTTTGAAATACTTCCATGATATGGAAGGTCAAATATGCTCCAGGTCATACAATATGCAGTTTATGATAACTTTTCACAGTAGTTGGATGAAATTTGGGAAATGTTATCCTTAAGGGAGCCGTGAAGATCCGGTGTAGAATAGGTCTTTAGCAACCCATGCTTGCCATAAAAGACTATGCTTGTTTGAATAGGCGACTAACGGGATCGGAAGGTCTGGCTCGATGACTTGGTTGATGCATGTCATCATATTTCACTTGCATGGATGAATGCTCATGATGTCAAGCACTGGATTGTCTGGTCAAGACTTGATTATTTACAGACCGCCGTCATATAGCTGTAATATCGCTGAGTGCAGCGTTAAACAACAATCAAACATTAATTATCCTTGAGGCGGGGCATTGAATTGGTACAGTTTTAAGACTCTCATTGAAGGTCAAGGTCACTAGAAGGTCATTGGTAAGACAGTTCTGCTTCTTTGTGTACTGAACCAACCCCTGTGTTTGTAAGACATGTTTGTAATAACTTGCACTCCATTGTAGTAATGGTATGTAATGTCCCCAAGCTATGAGTCAATGAACCTCTCTTTGTGTGTTTCCCTGGTCCAGTGGGATATTGCTCATTGAAATGCTGACATAGGAGAGGTGTCTGTTGTAATCTCTTGCTCATCATTGCTGCATTTCACCACAAATTGATTTTTGCAGCCAGTATACAATGTGTGATGACTGTGTTTCTTCATGATCTCTGGGGGGCATGGGTGGCATGGGGGGCCCAGTTGTCTGAGGCGCAACAATTCGCTGTGCAGAGTTGCATCCCTAAGGCACATCAGAAACCTATGATTGTGGGTTCGAATCCCGGTTTGCCCCGATTATGTTTCTAGGTTTGTCAGCACCATACCAAAGTAGTAAACATCTGTGAACTGCATCACTGCTGACACGCCCTGATATAACTGGAATACTGTTCAAGCGGTGTTAAACCCAACTCACTCACTCACATGATTGCTTTGTTTGAGGCCTCATATGTATGTATGAGGGTATGTACCAAGAAAATGTTGACAGACAAGTAAATGCTGTAGATATATGTTTGTGTACACTGTGAGTAATAAGCTTGTGTTGCTGTTGCAGGTGCTGATAGAGACACTGGCCGCCCTTGGGGCCTCCGTCAGATGGGCAGCATGCAACATCTACTCAACACAGGTACAGTCATCGGGCCGTCCAAAAGGCCACAGTATTTCAAAACTGCATACATTTAACTCTGCTTATGATGTACAATTATTAGGTGTTCAATTTACAGTCAGAAACAAAATTTCGGAATCAGTTGATTTACCAGTGTTTCGACACAGTCTACACAGGTACACACCATTTGGTTCTGGTATGTGTTGTGAGTAATACACATGGTTTCTATAAAACAAATTACATGCATATGTGAGCTGTGGACAGAAAAGAATCAACAAACAGATGAATAGGAAAAGGATTGATTAATTCAGGGTAAGTCATTACAGTCAGTACCAGTAACAATGATGGTGATGAGAGGAGAAGCTGAGGGAGGGACATAAAGCTTGTTTAGGTATTGATTGTCACTCCAAATGAGTATTTATCGGGTCCGGAAATAGATGTCATGCATCCAGACAGCCAGGTTGAGCACCCAGAAGGGGAATGTACAACATAGTTGCAGACATCAATTCAGGAATAGCTGAGAGTGGCATGCTCTAGGATACACATACAGAACCTTGCCTGCTTGGTTTGCCCCTGGAAACATTGAATCCTTGTTACCTAAAGTGCCCTTAGGTTACTCCTTGAACCTTGTAGAATCCAGATATAGTTTCATCCAGACTGTATCCCACCTGCCAGGTGATGGGTGCCTGATATGGCTGAAATATTTAGTGCACTCTCCCTCACTCACTGCTGCCAAGTAATCCTTGCATATGTAGTAATCTACTTACACAATGCCTGATAATACTGTGTAGGCTACAGAGATTCAGCTGAGCAGATTCCCTTAGGGAAATGTTCTTGTGCTCTGTCCTGACAGGCAGCTTCTGGTAGGTGCTTGTGATTGGCTGATTGTGGATAGTACCTTTAAGGGGTATCACATGGTTAGACAGACACCTGTTCATTGGATCATATGATTATAGCATGTAGAAATTACCAAGAGGTCACAGGTCACAGATGACTTTCTGTCATTTTTCAGTTGATTTTGATCTAAAGGAATATTTATAGTTTTTTAGGAAAGTTCTGAGCTTGACCTGAAGAATGTAGTGAGATGAATTGTTTCAGAATGAGGTTGCTGCAGCGCTGGCAGAGGCAGGATTCTCCATATTTGCCTGGAAAGGAGAGACTGAGGAGGACTTCTGGTGGTCTATAGACAAGTGTATTAACGCAGATGGCTGGCAGCCAAACATGGTCAGTAAGAGTTTGGAACTAGTCCTCAGATGCTCTTTGTTCGTAAGTGATTCACAAGTTCCATCATGATCATCTCATCATAAGAATGTTTGAAAAGGGATCTGCAATTAAGCAGATGTATATTTAGGCACAGTATTGCTGCTCTATCAGGCCATCATGCTTGTGATCATCTATTGATGACAGGGCAATGTCAGTCCTGCTGTGTCTGACCAGTAATAGTCAACACACAGTGAGGACACCCAATGCTAACCCTGGTGGTAAGGGCCTGTCATCTCTGCTGTGTCTGACCAGTAATAGTCAACACACAGTGAGGACACCCAATGCTAACCCTGGCGGTAAGGGCCTGTCATCTCTGCTGTGTCTGACCAGTAATAGTCAACACACAGTGAGGACACCCAATGCTAACCCTGGTGGTAAGGGCCTGTCATCTCTGCTGTGTCTGACCAGTAATAGTCAACACACAGTGAGGACACCCAATGCTAACCCTGGTGGTAAGGGCCTGTCATCTCTGCTGTGTCTGACCAGTAATAGTCAACACACAGTGAGGACACCCAATGCTAACCCTGGTGGTAAGGGCCTGTCATCTCTGCTGTGTCTGACCAGTAATAGTCAACACACAGTGAGGACACCCAATGCTAACCCTGGTGGTAAGGGCCTGTCATCTCTGCTGTGTCTGACCAGTAATAGTCAACACACAGTGAGGACACCCAATGCTAACCCTGGTGGTAAGGGCCTGTCATCTCTGCTGTGTCTGACCAGTAATAGTCAACACACAGTGAGGTCACCCAATGCTAACCCTGGTGGTACATGGCTGATAAATAAATACAGATGATGAGTGTTCTTTGTTTAGTTCTGTTACATCAGTATTTTGATTGTTGCTGGTACAGTATATGTAGATGGTGTGAGCTGTTTGTATGTGTTATTAGATCCTGGATGATGGTGGGGATGCTACACACCTCATGCTGAAGAAGTACCCAGCCATGTTCAACATGATCAAGGGCATCGTGGAGGAGAGTGTGACCGGAGTACACAGACTGTACCAGCTCTCCAAATCAGGCAAACTCACTGTGCCAGCCATGAATGTCAATGATTCGGTCACCAAGGTAATGGCACCTACCTTGTGTCCTTGACCTCTCAGGTCACCTAAACTATCACCATTAGGCCAGGCGTTTTATATTTTTCGGATTACAGACCCACCGAAATACTAATCAGATTCCCCATTTTTTTTCCCGCTGATAGCCGCTTAGACAGTTATTTAATTTTTTATCATCAACTTTTAATAAAAAAACATGAATTTACCGTTGTAAACTAGTAAAGAGATACATAATCGATCTTTGTTGATCTCGAAGCCGAACATGAATAGCCTCCCTTGACAATTGTCCCTGTTGGAGGTGATAGAATTTATATTGTTATGAGAGGCTTTATCGTCACAAATGGCGGTCTTTTGAGCGCAGAATATGTTCATAAAGTAGGCCAGAGGCATTCTGCATTTAAAAAAATGCATCTGGCTTTTTTTCTTTCTTTTTTCCCTCCTCCAACCCTGGACTTTGGGCTGAAAAATCCATAATCCTAAAAATAAAAAAAGCCTGGCCTTAAACAGTATCACAATAGCTAATATAGGGGCTGAATAGATTTGACTCAGTAGTTCTTGGTTTTTGGTCAGGTACCTAGGATATAGTCTTGAGGATGTACAGTTACTTGTGTTTGGACCATGAAATGAGATAGTTATGGGTTAATGGTCAGTGGATGGACTGACAATGTGGTTCACACTATATAGGTCTATTTTGGCCCTCAGCATTTATCTGCTTAAGTCTGACAGACTTAATTATGTTCATTCTTTCTTCTCAAATTACTGGATGTTAAATGTGTCTTTCTGTGCTGTCAAAGTGTGATCTCAGATTGGCCCTGACTGTTGAATGTTCCAAGTTGTAGCACAACCTGAACCTAAAGGCAATCTCCATAGGAAGGGAGTAAGATTAGTACATATTCTTTTTGACATGCCATAGCACAAGAAAATAATTCAATATCTGATTTATTTCTGGATTCAATTTAGCTAATTCAATTTGATATGTGTCTCTGTGGCCAGAGGGTAGACATCTTCTGCTGACTGTCCTCCTGGTTATGTAATTATGTTGCTTGAGGGAAGTGTAGTGTCCTTTGCTTCAAGTCGTGTCACTCCTCTTGGTCAGTGAATCAGTGGAGCATCTAATCATATTACAGTTGGTCACATTGCAATCTGGTAATATCAGGAAGTCTCTAGGTTACATTCTGTCATTTTCTTTGTGTAATATCATCACAAGTTGTCATCTGGTCTGGTCTGGTCTGGTCTGCCATGCGTGAGCAACATCGGCACCGCTCCTACTACTTGTTCCAAGTGATTGGGTGTGGAGTAGACGTAACCGACTGATTCTGTGGTAGATTTGCTTGCTATACTGGGTAACATCTATATTCCTGTCAGGATGACAAGTGCTCTCATGGACAACTGTGGTATACCCATTGTTTCTTTTCTTTCTAGACCAAGTTTGATAATCTGTACAGCTGCAGAGAGTCCATCTTGGATGCGTAAGTGTTTGAATGTACTATCACATACATATCTCATATTCTCATTGCCCGATCTCCTTAAGTAATTGAAGTGGATCTTCGCACATGTCCATTGACACCTCAATTTGGGCTACGCACACATGTACATTGACACCTCAGCTTGGGCTACTCACACATGTCCATTGACACCTCTGCTTAGGCTACTCACACATGTCCATTGACACCTTAGCTTGGGCTACTCACACATGTCAATTGACACCTCAGCTTGGGCTATTCACACATGTACATTGACACCTCAGCTTAGGCTACTCACACATGTCCATTAACGACTCAGCTTGGGCTACTCACACATGTACATTGACACCTCAGCTTAGGCTACTCCTATTGTACATTGACACCTCAGCTTGGGCTACTCACACATGTACATTAACGACTCAGCTTGGGCTACTCACACATGTTCATTGACACCTCAGCTTGGGCTTATCACACATGTACATTGACACCTCAGCTTAGGCTACTCCTATTGTCCATTGACACCTCAGCTTGGGCTACTCACACATGTACATTGACACCTCAGCTTGGGCTACTCACACATGTACATTGACACCTCAGCTTTGGCTACTTACACATGTACATTGACACCTCAGCTTGGGCTACTCACACATGTACATTGACACCTCAGCTTGGGCTACTCACACATGTACATTGACACCTCAGCTTGGGCTACTCACACATGTCCATTGACACCTCAGCTTGAGCAACTTACACATGTCCATTGACACCTCAGCGTGGGCAACTCACACATGTACATTGACACCTCAGCTTGAGCAACTTACACATGTCCATTGACACCTCAGCGTTGGCAACTCACACATGTACATTGACACCTCAGCTTGAGCAACTCACACATGTACATTGACACCTCATCTTGAGCAACTCACACATGTACATTGACACCTTAGCTTAGGCTACTCACACATGTACATTGACACCTCAGCTTGGGCTACTGACTTCTCACACATGTACATTGACACCTCAGCTTGGGCTACTGACTACTCACACATGTCCATTGACACCTCAGCTTGGGCTTCTCACACATGTCAATTGACACCTTAGCTTGGGCTAATCACACATGTACATTGACACCTCAGCTTAGGCTACTCACACATGTCCATTAACGACTCAGCTTGGGCTACTCACACATGTTCATTGACACCTCAGCTTGGGCAACTCACACATGTTCATTGACACCTCAGCTTGTGCAACTCACACATGTACATTGACACCTCAGCTTAGGCTACTCCTATTGTACATTGACACCTCAGCTTGGGCTACTCACACATGTACATTAACGACTCAGCTTGGGCTACTCACACATGTTCATTGACACCTCAGCTTGGGCTACTCACACATGTACATTGACACCTCAGCTTAGTTTAGACTACTCCTACTCCTATTGTCCATTGACACCTCAGCTTGGGCTACTCACACATGTACATTGACACCTCAGCTTGGGCTACTCACACATGTACATTGACACCTCAGCTTTGGCTACTCACACATGTACATTGACACCTCAGCTTAGGCTACTCACACATGTACATTGACACCTCAGCTTGGGCTACTCACACATGTCCATTGACACCTCAGCTTGAGCAACTTACACATGTCCATTGACACCTCAGCGTGGGCAACTCACACATGTACATTGACACCTCAGCTTGAGCAACTTACACATGTCCATTGACACCTCAGCGTGGGCAACTCACACATGTACATTGACACCTCAGCTTGAGCAACTCACACATGTCCATTGACACCTCAGCGTGCGCAACACACACATGTACATTGACACCTCAGCTTGAGCAACTCACACATGTACATTGACACCTCAGCTTGAGCAACTCACACATGTACATTGAAACCTTAGCTTGGGCTACTCACACATGTACATTGACACCTCAGCTTGGGCTACTGACTTCTCACACATGTACATTGACACCTCAGCTTGGGCTACTGACTACTCACACATGTACATTGACACCTCAGCTTGGGCTACTCACACATCTACATTGACACCTCAGCTTGAGCAACTCACGCCTGTCCATTGACACCTCAGCATGCGCAACACACACATGTACATTGACACCTCAGCCTGGGCTACTCACACATGTACATTGACACCTCAGCGTGGGCAACTCACACATGTTCATTGACACCTCAGCTTGGGCTACTCACACATGTACATTGACACCTCAGCTTGGGCAACTCACACATGTTCATTGACACCTCAGCGTGGGCAACTCACACATGTACATTGACACCTCAGCCTGGGCAACTCACACATCTACATTGACATCTCAGCTTGGGCTACTCACACATGTCCATTAACGACTCAACTTGGGCTACTCACACATGTCCATTGACACCTCAGCCTGGGCTACTCACACATGTACATTGACACCTCAGCTTGAGCAACTCACACATGTACATTGACACCTCAGCTTGAGCAACTCACACATGTTCATTGAGGACTCAGCCTTGGGTTTCTTACACATGTCCATTGACACCTCAACTTGAGCAACTCACACATGTCTATTGACACCTCAGCTTGAGCAACTCACACATGTCTATTGACACCTCAGCTTGGGCTACTCACACATGTACATTGACACCTCAGCTTGGGCTACTGACTACTCACACATGTCCATTGACACCTCAGCTTGGGCTACTCACACATGTACATTACTCTCTACCCATACTCTCAGTCTATACTCTCTACCCATACTCTTAGTCTATACTCTCTACCCATACTCTCAGTCTCTACTCTCTACCCACACTCTCAGACTCTACTCTCTACCCATACTCTCAGTCTCTACTCTCTACCCATACTCTCAGTCTCAACTCTCTATCCAAAGTCTCAATCTCTACTCTCTACCCATACTCTCAGTCTTGACTCTCTACCCATACCCTCAGTCTCTACTCTATACCCATACTCTACTCTCTACCCAAACTCTCAGTCTATACTCTCTACCCACACTCTCAGTCTCTACTCTCTGCCCATACTCTCAGTCTCGACTCTCTACCCATACCCTCAGTCTCTACTCTATACCCATACTCTACTCTCTACCCAAACTCTCAGTCTATACTCTCTACCCATACTCTCAGTCTCTACTCTCTACCCATACTCTCAGTCTCCGTCATATTCTCTACTTATACTCTCTAACCATACACTCTACTCATATTATCTAGCAATACTACCTACCCACTCATACTCTATACTCCTACGGTCCACCTACATAATCTACATGGTCTAGTATCTGCCGCTAGAGCAGAAGGTCTGTGTGTTTGTGCCCCGGGCCCGTCGTAATCAAACATGTTAAAAGATGGTACTTGTTGTTACTCTGCCTGAAGTACAATCATGCACGTACACACATAAAGTACAACAATCTTGGAATGTGAATACCTCCCCTATACTCTCTACTCTCTACTCATACTGGGCCCTCTTCGTTCATGTACCTCAGTAGTGTCTGGTGAAAGTTAAAACAATGACTTAAGTTAACAGAGTTTAAATTTCTCTACTTGTTTGTTTTTCCAGGAGTATTTTCTTTCAGACTTTTTAGCAACCTTTTCTTTCAGTCATTCCAACAAAGACAACTGCTAATTGTGTATGACATCGCTACAGATGTGGTGTATTCTGTGTGACTGATTTATCAAGTTCATTGAGTTGTTTACTGGAAAACTGCACATAAATGGGCTGAATGTTGACAATTGACAAATTCGTTAAGCAATAAATGTGTGCAAAAACATGTGCAATTATTTATTCTTGTAGGTTTTTGAAGGAACAATATAACCAATATAATTGTTTCTTTGATGTTTCAAGATGAGCTGATAACTCATGCACCATCATATTCATGCACCATCTTGCAGCAAAACTAAGCATAACAACTGACCTGTTCATTAAATTGTTGCAAATACGTTATCAATGAGATATGACCAGTAAACTGTTGCAAATACGTTATCAATGAGAGACGACCAGTAAACTGTTGCAAGTATGTTACCAATGAGAGACGACCAGTAAACTGTTGCAAGTATGTTACCAATGAGATATTATCAGTAGGCTCCCCGTTTTCTCTACTAAATGTGAATACAGGAATAGCACAAGGAACTAATTCCCTCACTGTGTTGTGGCTGTAAACTGTATTTCTTTGTTTAAAGGTTGAAGCGAACTACAGATGTCATGTTTGGGGGAAAGCAGGTGCTGGTCTGTGGCTATGGTGAGGTAAGAATACAAATATTGTGTGCTATCAGTAATATAGAAAATGTGTGTGATTTACTGCAGTAGTTGTGTGTGTGATTCACTGCATTAGTTATGTGTGTGAGTGACTGCAGTAGTTGTGTGTGTAATTGGCTGTAGTAGTTGTGTGTGTGGTTGACTGCAGTAGTTGTGTGTGTGATTGACTGCAGTAGTTGTGTGTGTGGTTGACAGTAGTAGTTGTGTGTGTGGTTGACAGTAGTAGTTGTGTGTGTGATTGACTGCATTAGTTGTGTGTGTGGTTGACAGTAGTAGTTGTGTGTGTGGTTCACTGCAGTAGTTGTGTGTGTGATTGACTGCATTGGTTGTGTGTGTAATTGACTGCATTAGCTGTGCGTGTGGTTGACAGTAGTAGTTATGTGTGTGAGTGACTGCAGTAGTTGTGTGTGTGATTGACTGCATTAGTTGTGTGTGTGGTTGACAGTAGTAGTTGTGTGTGTGGTTGACTGCAGTAGTTGTGTTTGTGATTGACTGCATTAGCTGTGCGTGTGGTTGACTGCATTAGTTGTGTGTGTGATTGACTGCATTAGTTGTGTGTGTGGTTGACAGTAGTAGTTGTGTGTGTGGTTGACTGCAGTAGTTGTGTTTGTGATTGACTGCATTAGCTGTGCGTGTGGTTGACTGCATTAGTTGTGCGTGTGGTTGACTGCATTAGTTGTGTGTGTGATTGACTGCATTAGTTGTGTGTGTGATTGACTGCATTAGTTGTGTGTGTGGTTGACTGCAGTAGTTGTGTTTCTGTTCACAGGTTGGCAAGGGGTGCACTGCTGCACTGAAGGGGCTTGGCGCCACAGTGATGGTCACGGAGATTGACCCCATCTGTGCTCTACAAGCCTGGTAGGTAGACAGTGTTTCCGTCCAGTCAATTTCTGGTGAAAGTGTTTGTTTTTATTAAATGCATCAATTTTAGTAAAGGAGAAATTTAAAAGCAATTCCTTGCATATGGTCAAATATTCTCATGTTTATTATATGCTACAAACCTCTAATGGCTCAGTATAATTCTGTAAAATTAACAGTGACGTAAGTGTTTTTCAAAATATTTGTACAGTTATTAAATCGTAAATGAAACTAACTCCTGGAATAGTAAGTTATATCTCAATATCTTATTTTAGGTGTGAAGCCCATTTCTGGTGTCCCCCGCCGTGATATTGCTGGAATATTGCTAAAAGCGGCGTAAAACCATACTCACTCACTCACTCACCACTCTTATTTTAGGTCCCTGGTTATATAAGACTATGAAATTATGACTTGTATAATAGTGTTAATATTGTATTTAGTAATTATTTTGTGAAAAACACTAATTCATTCTCGAAAATATCAAATATCAAACAGTTTATTATTTTTGTTAATTCATAAATCATATTTGTGGACATTCCCCATTCCCACCAGAAGACCTTTATTCTCTAAGACTGTTTGGAGCAGTTTGGGCGAATATGCAACAATTGTGGACGTCACAAAGTTAATTTTTCAAGACTTCATCCTCAGTTGTTGTAGAGCTGACAGTTAGGAAATATGTCTTGTTATTAATTAAAAATTAATGACTATACAGACTGATCATTTGTATATTTTGTTGCACTTCCGTCTTTTGAGAGATAATTGTGACCTAATGCTTAAGGTGATGAATTGCGTATATCTGTACTCAAGGATGTACCTGCGACTGACGAACTTTTTAAGCATGGAATAAAAATATTGCTACTTTGACATTGGGTATTCAAATTTCCGACTGTTTGCCAACTAATGCTGCAGTGTGTTAGGTCTTGTTGCAGATGGACTACCTTTGCATGATGAGTTGTTAAGAAAGCCCATGTTGAGGCTAGCATGTATTGTGTATTCACTGTTTCAGTATGGATGGGTTCCGTGTTGTGAAGCTTGATGAAGTTGTCCGACAGATAGACATCCTCATCACATGTACAGGTAACTAACTGTCTTACTGAATGGTTGTCACCTGTCACACCTCATTGCCTACATAGATGGGGGTTGTTCACATATATACAAGCTGTCATGTTAGCAGTGACATGTCACTTTACTCATGCAGGTAACATGTCACTTTACTCATGCAGGTAACATGTCACTTTACCCATGCAGGTAACATGTCACTTTACTCATGCAGGTAACATGTCACTTTACTCATGCAGGTAACATGTCACTTTACCCATGCAGGTACCATGTCACTTTACTCATGCAGGTACCATGTCACTTTACTCATGCAGGTACCATGTCACTTAAGATAAAGGTAACATGTCACTTTACCCATGCAGGTAGCATGTCACTTTACCCATGCAGGTAACATGTCACTTCCGATACAGGTAACGTGTCACTTTACCCATGCAGGTAACATGTCACTTTACCCATGCAGGTAACACGCACTTCCGATACAGGTAACATGTCACTTTACCCATGCAGGTAACATGTCACTTTACCCATGCATGTAACATGTCACTTTACCCATGCAGGTAACATGTTACTTCCGATACAGGTAACATGTCACTTTAGATACAGGTACCATGTCACTTTAGATACAGGTAACATGTCACTTTACTCATGCAGGTAACATGCCACTTTACCCATGCAGGTAACATGTCACTTTACCCATGCAGCCAGGTAACATGTCACTTCCGATACAGGTATCATCTCACTTCCGATACAGTCAACATGTCACTTCAGATACAGGTAACATGTCACTTTAGATACAGGTAACACGTCACTTTACCCATGCAGGTAACATGTTACTTCAGAAACAGGTAACATATCACTTTACTCATACAGGTAACATGTCACTTCCGATACAGGTAACATGAAACTTTAGAAACAGGTAACATGTCACTTCAGATACAGGTAACATGAAACTTTAGAAACAGGTAACATGTCACTTCAGATACAGGTAACATGTCACTTCAGATACAGGTAACACATCACTTTACTCATGCAGGTAACATGTCACTTCACCCATGTAGGTAACATGTCACTTTACCCAAGCAAGTAACTTGTCACTTTTCTCATACAGGTAACATGCCGCTTTACTTATGCAGGTAACATGTCACTTTACCCATGCAAGTAACATGTCACTTTACCCATGCAGGTAACATGTCACTTTACTCATGCAGGTAACATGTCACTTTACTCATGCAGGTAACATGTCACTTTACTCATGCAGGTAACATGTCACTTTACTCATGCAGGTAAAATGTCACTTTAGATACAGGTAACATGTCACTTTACTCATGCAGGTAACATGTCACTTTACTCATGCAGGTAACATGTCACTTTACTCATGCAGGTAACATGTCACTTTACTCATGCAGGTAACATATCACTTTACCCATGCAGGTAACATGTCACTTTACCCATGCAGGTAACATGTCACTTTACTCATGCAGGTAACATATCACTTTACCCATGCAGATAACATGTCACTTTACCCATGCAGGTAACATGTCACTTTACTCATGCAGGTAACGTGTCACTTTAGATACAGGTAACATGTCACTTTAGATACAGGTAACATGTCACTTTACTCATGCAGGTACCATGTCACTTTACCCATGCAGGTAACATGTCACTTTACCCATGCAGGTAACATGTCACTTTACTCATGCAGGTAACGTGTCTCTTTAGATACAGGTAACATGTCACTTTAGATACAGGTAACATGTCACTTTACTCATGCAGGTACCATGTCACTTTACCCATGCAGGTAACATGTCACTTTACCCATGCAGGTAACATGTCACTTTACGCATGCAGGTAACATGTCACATTACCCATGCAGGTTTCATGTCATTTTACTCATGCAGGTAACATGTCACTTTACCCATGCAGGTAACGTGTCACTTTAGAAACAGGTAACATGTCACTTTAGATACAGGTAACATGTCACTTTACTCATGCAGGTACCATGTCACTTTACCCATACAGGTAACATGTCACTTTACCCATGCAGGTAACATGTCACTTTACTCATGCAGGTAACATGTCACTTTACTCATGCAGGTAACATGTCACTTCCGATACAGGTAACATGAAACTTTAGATACAGGTAACATGTCACTTCAGATACAGGTAACATGTCACTTCAGATACAGGTAACATGTCACTTTACCCATGCAGGTAACATGTCACTTCAGATACAGTCAACATGTCACTTCCGATACAGGTAACACGTCTCTTTACCCATGCAGGTAACATGTCACTTATGATACAGGTAACATGTCACTTTAGATACAGGTAACATGTCACTTTAGATACAGGTAACATGTCACTCCTGATACAGGTAACATGTCACTTTAGATACAGGTAACATGTCACTTTAGATACAGGTAACATGTCACTTTAGATACAGGTAACATGTCACTCCTGATACAGGTAACATGTCACTTTAGATACAGGTAACATGTCACTTCAGATACAGGTAACATGTCACTCCTGATACAGGTAACATGTCACTTTAGATACAGGTAACATGTCACTTTAGATACAGGTAACATGTCACTTCAGATACAGGTAACATGTCACTTTAGATACAGGTAACATGTCACTTCCGATACAGGTAAATTCACTTTAGGTATAAGTAACAATTGACATATGGTACAGGCCTTATATGATATATATTTTGCCAAGATCATCTTGGAACGATGACTGCATGTAATATGCTTAAATTCCAGGTAACAAGAATGTTGTGAATCGCCAGCATTTGGATAGGCTGAAGAATGGTTGTATTGTCTGTAATATGGGGCACTCCAACACTGAGATTGATGTGGTAAGAACTCACTTTTTATGTACGGGACAGTGCACATCTGTGTGTCATCCACCATGTCATGGATCTATTTCTGATAGTCAACTGCCGATTCTTGATGTCACAAGATCACACAATTCACAATTGTCACTCTAATTCATCCATCACTTGAATGAAAATATCTTTCAAGTATGTGTGAAGAACATTCACTTTGTCAGGAGGCCTATGTCGTCGTTAAGTGTCATTGCAGTCAATGCTGACCATAAATATGTTTCATTTTCGACTTTATCTCCAAAATGGCATGATGGATTCCGCTAAAATTTAATGTGAATGTTTGTTACTATGAGGGGTTTCAAGTTTGTTCAAAATTTTAGAATGTAATGAGATTTGCTGTGTGTGTTGTAAGTAGTGGAGCTCAACACATGTTCCACTTTTTTAGATACTTTTGTTTTTGACCTTGGTTTGATCTTTGCACTAAATTTTTTATATCTCAGTGGTCATATTGAAAACGCAATTTTATGTCCATTACTTAGTTCATTTTTGTTGATATTATAATGAAATTTGGAAAATGTGTTGTTAATAGTGGAATTTGTTTAAGATGTTTGAATCTGATTTTCAATATGGCCGCTACTGCAGCTGTATAAAAAAACATTTTTATTGCAAATGCTCAATCCTTTCTGCTCCAAATCAACTGTAATTCTCTTAAATTCTCGCAAAATGCCCTGTTATCATCTCTGAAATTGCCAGAGAGGAGGCTGAACTGTGGCATAAATGGTTATCCTTATAATGACATCATATTTGGGTCAAATCTTTAGGATTTTCTTGTAATTTTTGTGAAACAATTGGAAAAATCGTATGGCATTAGAAAAAGTACCATAAGGCTTACAATAACTTTGTGTTGAATAAATTTAACTTTGGTGTATTGCAATTGTGTCCTACATCAGTACATTCATTCTTGCAGATTTAGAACATTGTGGAAAGTTTTTTGTTTCATAAATGTTGAAGCTTTTGTCCTTAGTATATATGCAAAAATATATTTGAATAGCAATGCTGACTGCCATATTTGTTAATTGGCATTCTTTGACATTTGAAACTTGACTACATATCCCAGTGAGCTACAGTACTGTGGCACTATTTCATCTATCTGTATTAATAATTGTTTTATCCAATGCATCGCTAACTACAGATGTATATTTGACGTATGTACATATCTTCTTGTTACAGGCCAGTTTACGAACCCCTGAGCTAACATGGGAGAAAGTACGATCCCAGGTGGACCATATCATCTGGCCTGATGGGAAGAGGATCATACTGCTTGCGGAGGTCAGCCTTTGTCTGGGGTACACAGGGTACAGACGTGGATACGGGGGCAGGGAGGGGTTGAGGTACAGACCTGGATACGGGGGCGGGGAGGGGTTGAGGTACAGACCTGGATACGGGGGCGGGGAGGGGTTGAGGTACAGACCTGGATAAGGGGGCGGGGGGGAGGGGTTGAGGTACAGACGTGGATACGGTGGTGGGGAAGGGTTGAGGTACAGACATGGATATGGGGGTGGGGAGGGGTTGAGGTACAGACCTGGATACTGGGGCGGGGGGGAGGTGTTGAGGTACAGACCTGGATATGGGGGTGGGGGCGAGGGGTTGAGGTACAGTCCTGAATACGGGGGCAGGGAGGGGTTGAGGTACAGACCTGGATACGGGGGCGGGGAGGGGTTGAGGTACAGACCTGGATACGGGGACAGGGAGGGGTTGAGGTACAGACCTGGGTGCACACCTGATTACCAAGGGTACAAATTCGGGTACTTGGGGAAACAATGGTACAGTAAGGTCTTGAGTATTGGGGGATACAGAGTATGTACAGGGGAAATTAGATTTCCCTACACTGGGTACAGACCAGATTACAGAGTGGTAGAGAGAATGGGCTAGAGATGCCTGGTCAGAGAGAAGGGGCTTGAGGTGCCTGGGTAGACAGAAGGGGCTGGAGGTTCCTGGGTAGACAGAAGGGGCTGGAGGTTCCTTAGTAGATAGAAGGGGCTGGAGATGCCTGGATAGTGAGAATGGGCTAGAGGTGCCCGGATAAAGAGAAGGGGCTGGAGGTGCCCGGGTAGAGAGAAGGGGCTGCAGGTGCCCGGGTAGTGAGAAGGGGCTGGAGGTGCCCGGGTAGTGAGAAGGGGCTGGAGGTGCCTGGGTAGTGAGAAGGGGCCGCATGTGCCCGGGTAGTGAGAAGGGGCTGTAGGTGCCCGGGTAGTGAGAAGGAGCTGGAGGTGCCTGGGTAGAGAGAAGGGGCTGGAGGTGCTCGGGTAGTGAGAACGGGCTGGAGGTGCCTGGGTAGTGAGAATGGGCTGGAGGTGCCCGGGTAGTGAGAAGGGGCTGGAGGTGCTCAGGTAGTGAGAAGGGGCTGGAGGTGCCCGGGTAGTGAGAAGGGGCTGCAGGTGCCCGGGTAGTGAGAAGGGGCTAGAGGTGCTCGGGTAGTGAGAACGGGCTGGAGGTGCCTGGGTAGTGAGAAGGGGCTGGAGGTGCCCTGGTAGTGAGAAGGGGCTGGAGATGCCCGGGTAGTGAGAAGGGGCTGGAGGTGCCTGGGTAGAGAGAAGGGGCTGGAGGTTCCTGGGTAGTGAGAATGGGCTGGACGTGCCCGGGTTGTGAAAAGTGGCTGGAGGTGCCTGGGTAGAGAGAAGGGGCTGCAGGTGCCCGGGTAGTGAGAAGTGGCTGGAGGTGCCTGGGTAGTGAGAAGGGGCTGCAGGTGCCCGGGTAGTGAGAAGTGGCTGGAGGTGCCTGGGTAGAGAGAAGGGGCTGCAGGTGCCCGGGTAGTGAGAATGGGCTGGAGGTGCCTGGTTAGAGAGAAGGGGCTGGAGATCCCTGGGTAGTGAGAAGGGGCTGGAGGTCCCCGGGTAGTGAGAAGGGGCTGGAGATCCCTGGGTAGTGAGAAGGGGCTGGAGATCCCTGGGTAGTGAGAAGGGGCTGGAGATCCCTTTGTAGTGAGAAGGGGCTGGAGATCCCTGGGTAGTGAGAAGGGGCTGGAGGTGCCTGGTTAGAGGGAAAGGGCTGGAATTACCTGTTAGCGTTATCACTGATGAAGTTTGTTGATTTGTGTTGCAGGGCCGTCTTGTCAACCTCAGCTGTTCGTCTGTACCATCATTTGTTGTGTCCATCACTGCCACAACTCAGGTGAGTTATTGTAAACAGACCCCATTCCTCATGACTGTACGCATTTTCTTGTTACGTTATACGGCCCCCACATCTCAGGGCTACCTTAGCAATCCTGTGCTGGCTATTGTACACAGTCCTCAATCCCCATGGCTGCCTACACAATATCCTGTGCTGGCTATTGTATACAGTCCTCAATCCCCATGGCTGCCTACACAATATCCTGTGCTGGCTATTGTATACAGTCCTCAATCCCCATGGCTGCCTACACAATATCCTGTGCTGGCTATTGTATACAGTCCTCAATCCCCATGGCTGCCTACACAATATCCTTTGCTGGCTCTTTTATACATTCTCCATTCATGGTTGATCACCTCGTCATGTACAATATACACTATGAATATATTCTTGATACTTGCACAGCACATGCCATTACAATGTATAATGTGTTATCTCTCCTTGTGGCTGTGTGTTAAATGTAATCCAGTGATAAGTTGGTGTGACTTTGACTCAGTGCCTTCAGTTGCCACCTAGTGATAGTGGCCTGTATTTTTAATACTGATGTATGTCGTCATGGATTAGACTGAGAAGTGGACCAAGTCTAGATACGTCTGTATGGGAACCGTTCAATGTTGCTGTCTGTGACTGTAAGTGATGCTGTTGCAGGCCTTGGCCCTGATCGAGCTGTTCAACGCCCCAGGAGGCAGATACAAACAGGATGTCTACTTGTTGCCAAAGAAGATGGGTAAGTGAACACCAAACGACACATGACATTGCCAACTTCATGAGCTCTTCAAACATGGCAGGCAATACAAAAATAGTTTGTCTCAGTTTCACCAAGGACCTTTGGACATACATGATGTTCTCTCCCCCCACCCCACCCCCCACACCCCCCACACCCCCAACACCCCCACACACCCCACATCCCCCACACCCCCACACCCCCACACCCCCATTCAAAATGACGGATGAGGATTCTTGAGCCAGTGAGATGTCATTTATTAAATTTTAGATATTTTATTATTCAAACATTTCAACCTCTGCCAAGGAAAACCGCCACCAAACAACAATTTAATCCACTATAGTAACCCTCTTTAGTGTAGATGCCATGGTACTCGCTCACCAATAGACCCATAAAGATCCAGGTTAGAATAGGTCTTCAGCAACCCATGCTTGACAAAAAAGACGACTATGCTTGTCGTAAGAGGCTACAAATGGGATGCGTCAGACTTAGTTGATGCATGTCATCATGACCGCCGCCATATAGTTGGAATATTGCTGAGTGCATCATAAAACAACAAAAAAAGAAACACTCACCAATGACAGGATGTATGAAATGTCCGCAACAGTATAATAGCGCGGTGTGATTTTTTGTGTTCGGATTTCCTAGATAATATTTGTTTTCAATATACTGAAGTTGGATATGCTTGTCTGAATGCTTTGCACACTTGAACCAAGAATTTTTTAGATTTGAATTTGATTGGTTGATTAGAAAGCTCACCTGTTGCGAACTTCTGTGGAGGTGTCCTCAGATCCTCATGCAGACAGGCATTAATACATGACACTTGTTATGGTTAGCATTTTCTTTTTGTTCTTTTATATCCTTTTTCTTTTGTTGCTATCAATAAAAAGTGTCATGTATTCATGTTCTTCCAACTTCTTATTAAGAAATAAACAACTCGTTTTTTTTTTATGGTACAATAAAGCACTGCAGGGAGAATAAACCATGTGGAATGCAGCTTTAAACATATTTGCCTGTTCTTAAATAATGATGACTCCTTTAATAGAAACTGACTACAGCAATGTCGGACAAGTCCATTTTATGAACAGGGAGGTTAAATTTGGTCTTTCCTGCATATTCTCACAATTTTCATGTCGATTAACTGGAACTTTTCTCCCAATACTGATTATCATATACTCTCATACTTTTGGACGAGATCGTTCGGCCATTCTATATATCTGCGTTGCCCAGCTACATCTATAGGGAACAACTCACTTAACATCTCCCTCTCAAATATAAAATCATACAATTTACAACGTCATTAACTTGTGAGGGCATGTTTTAAGAATGAAGTCATGATAGAACAATGTTTTATCGTGAAACAACCACGCTTCGTTCTTAATTGCTTTTTCCGCATTGTCATATCATATATATACCTATCAAAGACTTCAGAGAGGCTTTGTATTTTACTGGAATAACTTGAATGGCTATAACAGCCAATTGACTTGAGCCTAGTCACCTATTAAATGTTCCTTACACTACCTACCTGTGCTCGTGGGTTTCACCGAAGTGTAAAACGTCTCAGAACTGCATCACTTCGAGCTTTCCTCCCACATGAAGCTGACACGCTGTGATATAACTGGACTACTGTTCAAAGCGGCGTTAAACCGAACTCACTCACTCCTTACACTACCTCACATAATAGCAGAGTTGTAGTGTTGTTGAAGACTGTCTTTGAGTTGTAGGAGATTTAAGATTTTGTTACTCTTTCAGATGAGTATGTGGCAAGTCTGCATCTACCAACATTTGACGCTCACCTGACCGAACTGTCGGACGAGCAGGCCAAATATTTGGGCCTCAACAAGGCTGGTCCTTTCAAGCCAAACTACTATAGGTGAGTGAAGCAGCTGGAGCAGTGTTTGAAATAAAATCAAAATAAAATAAAATAACCTGCCAGCTACCACTTCCTGAGTCAAGGGCGTTAACGGACTATAAAAAGTCCAGTTTCCTCACTTGCTTGAACTAGGCTGGAATTTTGTGCCTTGATCTTAGCACCACCACTGACTATTACTAGTTATGTCCCATCTATGTCCCCCCTATTGACCAATCATTTTCCATCTCTCATATCACTTGCTTTTGCTGCCAACAAAGTTGCACCTTGCAGTCAAGACAATCTGATCGATAACCAAGATCGATATTGTAATAAAATGGGTTTTACTTAGCAAAGTGTGTCAAATCATTTGAACACCTTGATTATAAACATGAAAATGTTTGGAAAGTATGTCAATGCACAGTTGACGGTACACATAATCTGCAAATCCTGCACTCAATCGAAATCTGCACGGCAGTTGCCATGTCGTTTATGAACTGAATGTTGATTTTGTTGCGCAATTTTGATTGGACTGTGCATAGACTTGTTAGTTCAGCCAAAATATAACTCCATAATTCCAGCCTAGTTCGGCAAGGGTGGAAACTGAACAATTATGGTCAGTTAACTCCCTTTCCAAGGGTAAATAGAAGCTGCAGGTCATGACTCTTGAGGCCCCCTTTTAAAAAAAACTGTAGCTTATTGTGACACATAAATTTACTGCAGGCCATAACAACCCGTACAAATTTGAAACTCTTGGCCCGACACAAGACCTACCTGACACGGGCCTACAGGCAGGTGCTTATTTCAATCACTGAGCTTGAACTATGTTGTAAAATAGAAACTGATACAGTCGTTGCACACATAGAAACGGATAAGTATTAATATTTCAATGAAATATGTTTTTTCATCATTTTGTTTGTAATATGATCCCTTTTTCTTTTCAGATATTAACACAGTGCTCTCTTTATCAGTAAGAAGGCAATGCCAGTGATGTCATCAACCTCCGAGCATTCCATTTCAACATGGTGCAGTTGAACAGGAATATTGTACATCTACAAGGAGTTACTTATGTACCAGCCCTCAATGTGATGTCCAACTACATCAATTATTAGCCTAGTTCTCAGGTTTCCAAGACAAGTGTCGCAAACAGAATCTCTGTGTTGCGATAAAACTCAGCATTTTTGCCAATCACAGATAATATCTCATTGATGCCGAACCACCGCCACAATAGACACCTTCCACAGTCTCTCACAAACCAGGAAATTTGTGCAAGCCAACTTGAGTAATTCTCATTACCATAAACGCAACACTTTGATGAGTGTTACCCAAGTCCTGCTTTTCCTGGTACCCTTGTGTATAGTGTGAAGGTCATCTACCATTGTTTTCAAGGAAATCATTCTTTTAGTGATATCCAGTGTACTTCATTTGGTTGTATAAATTCTTTTAAGTATCCTTCGAAATTTGGGATTTTAGATCACATTTGATATATTGTTTTCATACAGTTCTGTCCCTGAACTTTAAATTGACAGGACCGATGTACATTTGAGATTTGACACACCCAGGATTCATGTCTGTCGTTCCTTTTATTCCAAGAATGGTTTTATGAAAAGGCTGGTCCTAATTTTTCATCTTTTGAGTTGTGACAGGAAAGAAATATCTGTAACATTTATGCTTCTATTCTCCGCAGTAGGTTGGAGGTCAGCATGCTGAGCTGTAAGATTGAATGGAGTATTTAACACTTGTAATTTAAACCTATTACCCAGATGACTTGTATTGTTTTGCTTAGCATGTATGACACATGACATGTCAAGAGTATTACATAATCTCTTAGTTCACTGTATGTGGTTAGCTTGACTTCAAGCGTAATCAAATACGCTTTCCAAGGAGCAAGAGGAATTTTATGTGCGCAGAGTCATGTTGCTTAGAAATCAATTACCAGTTTTACTTTGAAAGGGAGATTTTATCAATGGTGTGTTTCTCTGGGCTGTGATACAGATGGATGGTGATGAGGTTTGTTGTACATATTTCCTTGGTATCCTTATGCTGCACATACATTGCTTTCTGAGCAACAGATTCTGCCATCGTTGACATGTCGGTATATTCTTTGTTTAGTTGGGGTTGATTGCTTTAGCAGATTTCATGCCTAGCTCTGGTGATGTCAACCATCACTAGGTTTCAGACTGTTTTCTCCATTCCATGAATATCCTGTATAGCTCTGTTTGTTACTGACCCCCCAATGTATAGGTAAAAAAAGGTGCAAAAGCCATGCTAGTCAAATTTCATGTCTAGCAGGTTCCCAGACAGGTTCAGCTAGCACAATGTGGCACCAACAACATAATAGATTGTTGAGAATATGAAAGTAGTGATTTGATCTGTATGTAACAAGGACTGGCTACACTGCCTCGCCTTGTGAGTGTAAGTAGCCAGTGTATGTGACCAAGCCAAGTGTGGCAAGCTGGCTGGGTCCCATACCGCACAATGCATGGGCTTCAGCACACTATAGCTCTTTATCTACCACATATCCCAGACAATCGTGACGTAGCCCAGATTCCAGATTGTGTTCCAAATGTTCCAATTCTATGCACTCGAATCTCACCCAGTTTATCTGGAGAGTTGTAGATACTAAATATTCAGATGTGTGGTGACCAGGGGACTAGCAAGAAGATGCCTTTCCCACCATCTTCCTACAATACACCACATGCTGGGAGCAGGGAGGAGGGATTTTCCAGCACAACATACACACTGCAGTCAGATGATCCATTACCTGTTAGCATTTTATGCATGTCAGAATTTGATTTCTTTTTAACTACTTACTAGCCCGTTCCTGCCTTAAAATGGTTGTACAACGAGACCCTGAGGGCCAGTAAGTGTTGTCCCCTCCTCCCATCTCTCTGCAAGCAAGTAGTGCGTGCCAGGCACTAGTCAGGTCGCCAGTGTTACAGCAGCTGTATATTTCATTATGTATAATCCTCTAAAAAGTGAGTACGGGAGACATGTACGCTGTAGTATGAGAGAATAAACAGTAGAAATTACTAATCAGTGTTGTTCTTGTTCTGAAACTCCTTATCTGTGTAGACAAAGCACTAAACATTTACAGGCTGGAGATGCAGCATCCATCACACATATGAATTTTCAGCTCAAGGATATTTGGGTTTTTTCATATGAAACAAATTGTTTATTGTTTGACAGCAGCTTCATAAACGATGAGTTACACTGTATCCTAAATAGGCCACAAGGCTCAGAAGCTTACCAGATACTTTCTGAAAGATTATTTTAAATCGGAATCATGTAAACGTAACAAGAATAGAAAGACAAATAAACAGAATTTTCTACACAACACATATTTCTCAATACATGTTTACATGATTGCCATGGTAATTAATTTAGGGTTCAAGTGGGCTTATCTCATGGCACCTTGTCCATCCGACTGTTCACATTTTCTACATCTCTAAAATCATACATGTCCCTTGAGAGGAAGCTTTGCATGGATAATCCTTGTAATGGTGTACCTAAACATTTGCTGGCGTTCAATTGTAAAACATGCCAGCCATTTGCTATGCACAGGAAGTGTGAGGAGTACCAAATAGAGCATACCATATTTTGAATAATTGCACATTTTTTTTATATCTTGAACATATCTTTTTGGCAGTCTTAATTCTAAGTGATTTACATATAAATTAATATGTGTAGGACAAAGCACGTCCAAGGGTTTTATGATATTTAAGTTGGTTGGTTTTGGTTTGTTGTTTAATGCTGCACTCAGTAATATTCCAGCTATATGACGGCGGTCTGTAAATAATCGAGTCTGGACCTGACAATCCAGTGATCGATATCAGGTGCATCGATCCACGCAATTGAGATCGATGACATGCATCAACCAAGTCAGCGAGTCTGACCACCCGATCCCGTTAGTCACCTTTTACGACAAGCATAGTCACCTTTTACGTCAAGCATGGGTTGCTGAAGACATATTCTTCCCCGGAATCTTCACAGGTCTATGATATTAAGACCAGCATCCCTGGTTTTATCCCAAGGATAAGGGTTATAAATATCATAGGAAGGGGAAGTGTTTTATCATCCTTATAAATTGAAAAAAGAAACTAAAAAACAACATTTATCAACATTTTTATTTTTTAAACATACTTTCCATGAACCTTAGAAAACAGGTGTAACATATCTGTTGCTGGCAAACGATACTTGAAAAAGACATTCTTAAAAAGCAATGTGATTTATCAGTGCCTCTGTAGCCTTGTGCTACACTAACTGGGCTACAGATACAAAGGTTGCGTGTTTGATCCTCAGGAAGATAAAGAAAACATTTGTCATTTACATTTACATTTCATTACACTGTGTTACAATTCATATGTTACAATTTAAAGAGAAGTTGTATTAATAAAACCCTTGGATATTATAACATCCCCGTTTATGAGTTTTAACCTGACTTGAGTACAATAGGATGACATCACTGGAGGTATATAGGTACAGTCAACATATGTCATGCATACCCTTGTATTATGACCTCCATTTGCAAATATTAAGGAAGGTGACAGCCCCAGCATATAATGTGAGAGGATATAGCTATGGGCATGTCCATCCGTCTGAATCGTTTCCAGAGCAGAACTCGAAAACCGTTAAATATTTCTTCATCAAACTTTGCATTTATATCACTTAAGTGGCGAAGTTGTGCCTTTTGCTATTTTGGAATTTTTCCAATTTTCATGAAAGCATGCTGGACATGAGCAGGACTCCGAAACTGTTAAAAACATTTTTATTTTTTACGTTTAAGTTGGACTTAGGTTCTATAAGGGTGGTGTTCATTTCCGGAGCATAACTCAAAAACCGTTAAATAGTGTCTTACAAAACTTTGCATGTCTGCCAGGCACATACTGAACTGGTGCATTTTGCTATTTAGGAATTTTATAAATTTTTAACCTTTTTATGTTTCCATGGCAACAAGTTTGACTTAGGTCAGTTACCTGGTTTGGGACCATAACCTGTTAAAATGGGCGGGGGTATATAGATGACTTTGTTGACTATAAGCTTGTTTAATTATTGTTTCTTGTAATTTGTCATTTGTTTGCATAAAAAAAAACCCACAGAAACACTCTTGTTTTACTTTCCATTTCATATGGATGCGACCATGGTGGATCTTTTGTGGGTAAACAATGTATGCTTCTTCAAGAACATTCAACTCTTGACTCATTACATACAGAATTGCACATTTACTTGTGGTTACTTTACAGACAGCTGCCGGGAGGGGGGGATATGTCATCTTTCTTATGACTCGTTAACAATTCTTCAATGCAGTAAATAAGCACCCTTATGGCCTGGATTGAGTTTGGAGTAACGAAATTTTGACAGTATATCTTTTGCTTGTTTGTTGTTTAACGCCGCACTCAGCAATGTTCCAACCACATGATGGCGGTCTGTAAATAATTGAGTCTGGACCAGACAATCCAGTGATTGATATCATGAGCATCATTCTACAAAATTGGGATTCGATGACATGCATCAACCAAGTCAGCAAGCCTGACCACCCAATCCTGTTAGTCACCTCTTACAAGCATGGGTTGCTGAAGACCTATTCTCTACCCGGATCATGTCAAACTTAATGTGAGAGAAAGACCAAAGTTAAGCAAGGCAAAGATGTTAAACACTTTGGTGAAACCCACATGCAACTATATGGTGCAAACAAACCAGGCCGTTGCACAAAACAACCTTAGCCCTACTGTCGTAAGTCTGTGAAGGTACGGGAGTTATGATCACCTCCACGCCAAGATCGCTTTGTACAACAGCATCCAGGATCCATATTGGGGACAAGTCAGGGATTCGAACCCATGATCCACAACTTCTGCCTCTTTCCAAACTGAACTGCATCCATTTAAATGACTGGTTCACTCCCACACAAACTGTTTCATGTCATTCCTTCCATCAAGCTATAATTGGCATGATCATAGATAAGGTGTTTGGTCAGCTAATAAAACATGTTGGAGATCCTCATACAAACAGAAGACGATGGTAACAGTAATAGTAAAACAGTTTATTTAGAATAAAGACTTATTCCAAACATAGGATAAAGACATCTGGATGAAACAAATACAGAGGTGACAATAAGTGCTTAGGTTTTAGACAATACATGTAACTGAGATTCAGCACAATAAATTAATTTTGTCATTGATAATAACAATGGTATTTACACTGCTAGTATTGTACAAATATATACAAACATCTACCACGCCTTTGGCACAAATGATGAACATAAGAACAATACAAACAAAAACACATGCATTTAAGATATACTACTATATATAAACATTTGCTCAATTCATTTATATTTCATTTCGGAAATTGTCAATAATTCCAGTTTTCTAACCTACAGCCTGAGACATCACTACATGCTTCCTGGCTAAAACTACATATCAAAGAAGAAACACTGCTGATGGATGTATTCTCCGAAATTATTATTCATATATTATACCAACATATTTTTATAAGCAAATGGCTTACATCACATCAAGATACTGACAATACACCTAAACCATTGGTAAAACAAGTGAAATTAAACATGTTAAATGTTAAAAGAGGTGTGGCAAAAAGACTTGCAACTTTTGTCATAAAATCTACTTTCCTACCTACCCAACAACCATCAGCTTGTGTCCACTGGATTCAATGAAAAAGCAAAAAAATAGAAAATGAAGACCCAAAAAGAATGCCCCACTCCATCACTGGATTGATATGTCTACAATTTTGCAAAGACTTGAGTGATCAAGGCGGTTTAACTATACTCCTATACACAATCATGGACTTAAAGTAGCCCAAGCCTTTATGTGACCAGTTTGTGCAAGTAAATCCTAGGCTCCAATCACAAACTGATCTATCACAACTCCTATTTTTTAACATTGAGTTATGATTGTCAAAGCCCTTTAGACGACTTTGTGGCAAGGTTCCCAGGAATCACTGCAGGTATCTAAAACTGGTATTATCAATGAATATTTGAGGTAATAATCAAATACTGTTTGTGTATGTACTGGTGAGTAGTAGTAATCATTCAGCTCCATGAGGAAACAATATTACAAAAGATAATGTTTTTACAGAACATAATTTGTCCAATTTTACATTCAAAGAGAATATTTTACCACGAGTCAATTCTCATTGACTACTTTTATGAAATATGCCTGAGGATTGTGAATGTATCACATTTTCACATGAGCGTACATCACAGCTACAGAGCACTAATAGCAGGGGACTAGAAGACAGTTGCAGCAAACTATGTACAGCTTCATCTTCTGTAGAACTATGAAGACTAGGATTTCTGGGGTTTTGTTAAGTAAGGGCTGCAAGTGTTCAATATGTCACATGACAAGATACAGTGGTAAATTATTCAAAACCAAAGCTTTGGAAGAGCATGGTCAAGTCTGCTGTATGATGCAACTGAAGGAAAGTATCTATATATTTTAGTGCATGCATGATGTTTATTCTCATAAATCACGGCAGTGATACAGAGATGTAATTGGACACAGGAATTAGATACAATGAAGAAAATATGTCAGTGGAACATTTCCATACATGATCTTATATAACTTGCCAGTTTTAATAGAATTGGCTTATAAGTAATGGACATCAAATTAGTAGCATATGTACAGACAGGTTGACCGCTTCAAAAAAATGCAATAGGCAAAGTCAAATATTGTCTACTGTTTCTTGAGTCTTGTATCACAATGTATAGTGCTATCATTCATGTGCATGTGCGTGAAGTGGAGTTTCATGGGTAGAACAAGCTAGCAAAGAGATGTGTCCTATCAGTGGGGTGCAAATGTGACTACATCACACAAATTGATGTCATGAGGTTTGTCCCTGGTCGATTGATGTCACTTCCACAGCCTGTGTTGCGTCGGGCACCTCTGTCTTTAGCTGGGTCAGGGGAGCCATGGCAATCTGCACATTGGGGTTATCTCCTATAGTACCCATGCTGGAGGCTACTGTATGATACACGGATGCTGGTATGGTCACAATGCCTGCACAACAGAAATCAACACCATAATTTCATTTGTGAAAAGTGAGGATGAAAAGCTATAAACACATTAGGTACATAAAGAATGTACATAATATGGGACAAGACTTTCTAATTACCTCCTAGAGAACCATCTCCTGTGAATATAATCTGTCCACTTGAGTTGATTGAGGCGCCAGTAAGTGTAGTGACAGTGGCTGTGTTATCTGCCATCTCCACGCTGACAGGGGTGACTAGTTGACCAACCTCCTGGTGATTGGCCGCAACTTCTGCTAGGGTTTGCACTGCTTGAGTTGCTTCCTGCTGGTGGTTGTCATGCAGTTGCTGCAAAACATCAACATCTGTATCATACACACATTTAATTAGGCACAAACACAGACAGGTTTTACCATGAGCTACTAAACTTAATCATGTTATCCTATAAGTCTGAGCCAGTTAATTATTCATGGCAGGAGTAACAATCCACTTGATGGAGGTACAATCTTTGTTTGTTGTTTAATGCCAGACTCAGCAATATTCTGACTATATGATGACAGTTTATAAATAATCGAGTGATTGATATCATGAGCATCGATGTGACACAATTACATGCATCAACCACAGTGAACACTGATTCAACAAGTTAATATAGAATACTAAACAAGCTCCCGTGTAATATTATTTTTATAAAACGATTGAATAGTTCTGGTAACTGACGGGCGAAAGTGAGTCCAATAATAGAATTATTCATGAGTTTCATAAAATTGGTATTACATGGGAGCGAGTATAGTATTTTATTTATTCCTTGCCATTTCTAACTTTGTTTCATAAATCTCACAGTCATATGTGAATAGGCAGACATCTACATGATCCACAGCATAATCGAAATGAGTTTTAACAGAATAATACTTCAAAATTTGCCCCGTATTATCTAATACCATACAACAGCCTACCTTTAGAATTCAGGGTCAATTCCACAAAGCTACAGTAGCGCTAGGGTTATCATAACTCCCATACTATAACAAAGACTTACGACTGTCGTTGTGACGCAATCGCCTTGTGGAAGGGGGCCCTGCACCACGAAGTTTACAATCATGTTACAATACCCCTTGATGTAATTTGTGGAATTTTGCTGCAAAATCCAACAGCAAAACTATGCCGTGTGACGTCAGCTAAGCAACAGGACTGGTGGAGTTATCAGGTGCGCATAAGCTCATCTCGGTCATCTATCATCTATACATACAATGTAGTTGAATAATCCCAGGGATGTTGGGAGTTTTCAATATTTGTTTGTGAAACTTGTTCCCTCAGTACATAAGCACGCACTTTGGTATTACACAATGTGTAATACAGCTGTATGTTTATTAAACGTGTGGTCTCTTCACGAGCGAGTAACAAAGAGTTTGTATTACATTCATAGACAGCAGCAGCCACGTCACAAACTTTGTTTTTCCATAACAATAACAAAACATGTCTGCAGGGCATAGTTTGACATGATGCATGTTGTTATTCTTTTGTGCATACTTGTGCAACACAACTCACCTGTGCAGTAACTGCATGTACAACTGTGGCTTGAGTTCCATCAGGCAGAGTGACAACTGAGTTGCCTGTGGGTCCAGTGTCGATGTGGATGATAGATACAGTTCCATCTGGGTTGTTGATAGTCTGTACCATAGTCCCCTGGTAGTGTGAGGCAGTGTGGTTCTGGGCCTGTGCCTGGGACGTGCCATCATCATTGAACACATGAAGCAAGTCTTCACGACCATGGTGTTTGTAACAATTTTTCACAATTGTACGGAGAGCTTCAGTCCAGGAAACCTATATATGACAGGAAAGTTAGTAACAGATAATAGTAACAAAGATGATATAGTAGAAGCGTTTTGGCAAAATATGTAAATACTGAAACATGCTCATTTTCAATGGCAAAAACACCTCGGGTGGAAGAAGCCTAAATATATATTCTTATTATTACTATTACTAATACAACAGCTCCTGATAATTCAAAGTGAGTTGAATATTACATGTAGTCAAATGCTGCCATCAAGCTAGAAGATGTTGTTATTGTCTGTGTGAAAACCTGTAGAGAACAGTATTATCCCCATGTTATGTTCTTGAAATTTCATAGAACATATTAATATTTTAACAAACAATCATGTCAAGTAACACATTGGGAAAAGCAGTTTCTGTGATATGCGATGTTCTTCATCAACAATGGCTAAATGTGAGTGCAGATGATGGTATCTGAAAGTATAATATTCATGATGATCCACACAAATCTTCAAATCAGTAACAGATATCTAAATATTATTTTCTCAATATTCTGGAGTGAGTGAGTGAGTATGGTTTTACGCCGCTTTTAGCAATATTCCAGCAATATCACGGCTAGGGACACCAGAAATGGGCTTCACACATTGTACCCATGTCGGGAATCGAACCCGGGTCTTGGGCGTGGCGTGCGAACGCTTTACCCACTAGGCTACCCGACTGCCCCCAATATTCTGGAAGAAAGTTTAACTCTTTATCTAAATATACCAAACTAAACCTGAAGCCCACTGTACTTTGTAATGTTATGCATCAGACTTGCAAAATATCATCTAAGCCTTTGTTTTCAGAAGATAAGTCAAACCCCCCTTGCACAGCAACATCCCTCCACTTCAACTTTCACTTTGAAGTCAAATAAAACTCAAAATTCTTAAAAAACACATTACTATTTTGAATTCTGTTGTGCGATATCATCTGCATTCATTTCAGGCAAAGCAAAACTACTGGATGTGACCTCAACATAAATATTCTCCCTGCAGTGTTTTATGGTAGGATACACAACACCTACTCATCATTTAGTTCTTAAATATAGGCCTCAAAATACATTTAACCCTGATAATCAATCTTATGTTGCTTTGTACATTGTTTACATAAGAATTTGAAAAACATTCTGTCGTGTGTCTGAATGTGGTTTACACAAGAAATAATACAAGTAATTGAGTCATATGGTATATTTCCTACTTTTAGAAGATGAAATGAAATGTAAACTGCTGCATGTACACAGTGTTGGCTGAAGAGCGGGTTTTTGCGTCTTGGACGTACAAATATGAGTCTGAACACACCTGCGTAACATGTGTGGGTCTCGTGGACGCAGTGACTGGACCATTATTAATTTCATATCAAATGGCCACTGTTATTGAAATCAAAGCCGTACGTCTTTGCGTAAAGGTATTTATTGCCAAACAAGACAGCATGTTGATTAACACTTCTGCTAAATCAAACCAGTTTCATTATTCTCTCCCTTCTTACGACATATACCCAAACCGGGATCGATTTTCGGTTTTGCATGTATTAATGTTCGCTATAGTCCATAGGTTTGCTTCAGCCAATCATGTGCCGCATATCAAGCCGCTCGGATACATTTGTAATTCTCTTAGCTTGGTGACTGGTCGAAAACATCACAACCTCGTGTCAAACTAAAAATAGCCAGGCACATCAAGGGTATATACTTCAGAACATGGTAACAGTGACTCGCGAGATCAGGTGACCATGCAGGATGGTGCGCTATATTATTGCAGCAGTTAATTTATAATGGATCGTCATGCGGCACGCTTGCAAACTTATTAAATTGTAGAATTTTCCTATTCGGAATATTCTATAAGTAATATGTTACTACTGTTATACCGAGGCTGTTGTCTCCCACAACTGCCCTTATAGCGACATCTTCCACAGAGATCTCAATTACCTCATGCAGCACGTGCCTAGCCACCTATGCTGTCATGTAACATCCTTCACTCTTGTCTCTAGCGAGAGCAAGTGCTTGGGGGACGGACGGGTGGGCAGCAGCCCAGTGGTAATGTATTACTTATAGAATATTCCGAATAGGAAAATTCTACAAATTACATTAAGTAATACATTACCACTGTTATATCGAGGGTAGGTGGCTAGGCACGTTCTGCATGAGGTAATTGAGATCTCTGTGGGAGACAACAGCCTCGGTATAACAGTGGTAACGTATTACTTGTAATTATGTGATACGCAAAATGTTTGTTGTTCTTTGTTCAACTTTTATGACACATAAATTAGGATTGATCGTTGCTGATTTTCTTTACCGAGTTTGCGAATCTTACCGCAGTAAGGCTGTGTTGATTATGTGGTTTACATCACTTCCTTTTTGCATAATCAGTATGCATACGACCGAGGTTGGGTCAAGGGACTTCGTCTGAACAAATAGGTTCTTTTCTAATCAATTTCGAATGGAGGTAGGGGTAATTCCACTTCAAAAACATTCCAGAAACTATCATAAAAAACTTAACACGTGTATACTTGCAAGTAGCCGTGACACACCACGACGAGTCCTGTATTCGATCATGCGATGAAATATATCGTGCTAAGATTTGCCTAAGTAAACAGTTGACAGGATGTGTGGATTACGAGATTCAAGCAGAAAATCGTGATCTATATTAAAAATATGGAGCTTTGTGGATGTATCGTGCTAGGTTAGGAGCTGTGACAAAGATTTTTCAGGCATGTATTTTGGCATTAAACATCGTATCCAAGCCAAGAAATCGAGGCAACAAAAGCCAAGATGACATTTGACTTACATTACAAGCGATCGCACAAAAAGTTGAAAATAATAACTTTGATGTAAGTTTGACAACTTTAAGATATATTTTTGTTGATTTTATTTATTACTTTGTATAATAAATTTAAAGATTTGTTTAAAAAGTTTTTATTTTGCTCTTTGACATGTCCTATGTGGACCCGCTGTCGAAGGGTGTGTCGAGAATTTTATTTTCAATAACATCACGGGAAATAGATCTAGTGAATAATTTTTAATCTATTGATAAAAAGTGATAATTTGAAATGGAATACATATTTCAGACATTGTGATAGATTTAATAAATGAATGATATGACAGATAGGTTCATGAAATTATATACTATTTTGATGTGACTACGGCTTGGCCGGTGTACCGGCCTGTGGTGTTGAAAGAGCACATTTGCCCTTCAAGCCAACTTTCTTGAAACCTATGTAACATAAATGTCCTAATGAAAAGGAATACGACAATCTTGTGATTCCTCCTAATAAACGTAATGTGACAGTACCCTTTTCTTTTCTTCATCACTACGTGCATCACTCCTAACGTTCGCCCAGGGGAGGTCACTAGGCCACCATACAGGCCTACACTCCGGCTTTCCCCAGCCAGGCTTACTGCGGCCAGTTGAGTACTTCAACATCTCAGGGATGAAGTTGCGCAACTGTGCCTGTTACAACAAGAAAAGGTGCTAAAAACACTCCATTTAATAAGCAGAGATGATCATTTTTTTAAAATATATTAGTGAAGAATCTGTTTGTCCAGAACTGATTAACAAATTCCTTCAAAGTGAGATTGTTCAACATATGCTAATGGGTAAATACAAAACATAATTTTGTGTTTACTTCGTACTTCATCCCAGGTAACATGGTTATATGTCAAATACTACTTTGATTACAATTAAGGTCAAAATTAAGTTTCTATAGCATCTCTCTCATTTTACAGGGGACCCATCTCTAGAACATAATGCAGTTTAAGTACAAGTAAAGACAAAAGGCACTGCAGAGGCCCAATTCGAAGTCACAAGATCAAAATACCATACCAGACAGAGTACACTAAAGTAGCAGCAGAAGTTAGTGTAACTATGGTAACTCACTTGTGTCATCTTGTCGACCTGTGTCGGGATGCCATCGATGACGAGCAGAGGCAGCTCGTGGAGGTGGGAGTTGTCACACTGTGACTGAGGAGCCTGGTCCTGCAGGGAGGTCTCCAGCTCCTGGATCACCATCCCCCGACAGTTCCGGATCTACAACAACACACTTAGATAATACTATTAACACCTCAAATTTCTATTGATTTGAACAAGCTATGATGACACCAGAAGGAGAAACATAGTTCAGCTTCCTTAGGGCCAAATTTGTAAATTTAACAATAAATTGTATAATCTCTCTTTCTTCGTCAATCCTAAGTGGAAAATGTGCTAATACAAAGGTTTCAAGCTTCTAAAACAAGAGTCATCAGAAAGATGACATATCTCTCCCCCTACCGGCAGCTGTCTGTAAAGGAACCACAAGTAAATGTGCAATTCTGTATGTAATGAGTCAAGAGTTGAATGTTCTTGAAGAAGCATACATTGTTTATTGTTTACCCACAAAAGATCCACAATGGTCGAATCCATATGAAATGGAAAGTAAAACAAGTGTTTCTGTGGTTTTTTTTAAAGCAAACAAATTACAATAAACAATAATTAAACAAGCATATAGTCATCTATATCCCCCGCCCATTTTAACACGTTATGGTCCCAAACCAGGTAACTGACCCAACATTTCTCTTAGCCCATGTCAAAATAGCTGCAATGGAAATTCTAAAATAAACATTTCTAAAACTCCTAAATATCAAATGGCACCAGTTCAGTATGTGCTTTATATATAGACATGCAATGTTTGGCAAGGAAATATTTAACAGTTTATTTGTTATACTCCATAAGTGAACCCAACCTATATTGAACTTTAAATCAAACTTGTTGCCATGGAAATGTAAAAAATAAAAATTTCTAAAAGTGCTTAATATCAAAAGGCACCAGATCAGTATGTGCCTGGTAGACATGCAAAGTTTTGTAAGAAAGTATTTAACGTTTTTAGAGTTAAGTCAGGTTGAAACACACTATCTTTTATTCAGTCAACAAAAGCTGTACATCAACTTCCCTCTGCCAACTACCAATCTTAGTTACCTCCCTTAAGGGGCATTCACACGGTACAACTAGTTGTATACAACTTGTATGCAATTAGTTGCACAAACTGAAGTTGTTTACAACTCGGCATTCACACGGCGGCGAGTTGCATACAACTCGGGTCTCGCAGATCTCTGACAAAAAGCTTGTGATTCACTACATTATCGCTGGAATCCCTTTTGCTGAGTTAATGTTCAGACGCATAGCTTTGAAAAATCAACGCTGTGCGAGAATTGCGGTTGGGCGGTACTGGACCATCCTCTGACTTTGCAATTTAACAGACTTGTATATTATTGAATTTTTAACCCCATAATGGAAAATTAAAATTAAAAAGTGTTAAATTTTGTTCAAGTTTCTGTTTAGCTAACGGAAAAGCTTCTAAAATATGTAGCCACATTTAATCGTACATAGATAAAGTACAGTGTGACGAAATGTTTTTTTTGACAGCTTTATGTAAACTGTGAGCGAACAAAATACTGTCTTATATCCGAACAACATCATGACAGACATATAAGAATTGTATGATTATGTATAACGTGACACATTCGATACGAAAGCGTACTTGTTTCATGTGGCGAAAACAAATTATCCGCTTTGACGTCAAAACACGAGGGCGATGTCCACATGTACAAAGACAAAAAGGGGCATTACTCCGCAATTCTTAACCTAAGTCATTGCAAAACTTGTCCCAAAACTCAGTACTTTTAGCTTATATCCCAATTTATAAGAAACGTTTAAATCGGTACCACAAAAAAGTAACAGTATATTACCACTAATATTCGTTCATAGTATAGAAAATTGAGATTAGAAGAACACAATGTTGGGCTTTATCACAGCTCCACAACCCCACACACCAATGCACACCCAAACCCCAACAGACCATGACCCGAACCCACCTTGGAACCTCAAATGGTCAGCCCCTATTTTGAAACGCGCACCTGATGCAATCTTTAGCTGTCAATGTTCCGCCAATTAAACGATAAAATCTAAATGTAAAACAAATAGTTGTCCACACATGAGTATACATTAATAAAAATATAACGTGACGAATTTCCTTCAGGTATACATTTACTTTCATTTAAGAAATGAAGGGTATGTTTTATTTAACCTATCTATATAAATTTGCCACAATGAATATTTCACAATTCTCCAAAGGAAATATGTATATGCTGCAGTGTGGTACATTCACAAAGCATATTATAGGAAGAACAACACGATGAATGTCAATTTCTGTGCTAAAAAAACAGCTGATTATTATGAGTTTCATAAATTATATGGCATTTTAGATTATATTAGTAACAGTACTACATACATGTACCCATTTTGCAGCAGTGCATTATTTTACTGGGTGAAAAGATATTGAAGAGATATTCAAAATACCCGGTATAATTGAAGATTGAAACAGTAAAATACTTCATGAACTGAATGCGTTGTGTACTAGTTCGACCGCACCTCAAAGGAAATAACAAATATGTACAACGATGCTGATGTTGATGTATACTAATATGACATCACTACCGGTAACCTCCCGTCATAACACAGCGAGTTCACTGATAGCAGTACGCGGAATGTTTGGAGTAGGTTTTACCGTAGTGCTGGGATCACATAGATCTACATACATAAATGAGTCATGTATGTTTAGCAATCAGAATCAATCTGAAATCAACAAGTTCTGCTTGTTTTTATGTTTCAATTCTCGCCTTGATACTACGTGGAAAGGCAGGCCAATACCGTCGTCAGTGTGTGTGATTTTGTGTCAATATCATGGCGTCACATGGAACGATTTCAGTTGACTTTTCCAAATAAGTATCTAGACTAATTATTTATTCCTCAATTCTTGCAAGGATTGCATATTTGTAATAATCCGAAGTAATGTAAGCAACAAATTGACGCCTAAATCTCTCAGAATAGTAGAAAATGTTAAGTAAAACTAGAAGTTAGTTTTGTTTACATTTTTGTAAATGAGAAGGCCCACTGGTTGGTTTCAGAGCAGAGGGTTTAGTTTCACACTTGAATATTTCGGTTGATTTCATTTGGACCGTTTGTATTAGTGACTTAGACAAAATGTCAATTGATTCTTATTGGTATGATGTATTCAGGGATGTATGTATCGTAGCTGAGTGTGAAATACATGTGATGTGATAGGCATCTCATTTAACGCAAAAAGAACCCTGTTTTTGCAAAGCTATCAACATGGCGGTTCAGTCAAGAGTTCTTATGTTTCGAAAACGAATATAGGGTTATTGGAGTCTTTTCGGAATGATGATTGGTGTTTTGACAAAGAGCAGACACCCAATGGTTTTGTAATGGAACTTCTCATGTAGCTATACCTTATTTGAAAAAAATAATCACATTTAGAACAGTGAATTGGTAAAATGCGAAAATGGCAATATTTTTGCTGTACACTATTTTCAGATGTCGTTAGCATGGTTAGTGATACATATGCTTTGCCTAAATAGTTGTTAATGTCATCATATAATAGATAATTTCCCACAGAATCTATAACTGTAAAGTGTATTTGTGTGTATAATGTATTTTAAGTTTGAGAAACATATATTATGGACCTTATCTCATCTTGGTCTACACTACAGTGTTCAGTCACATAGTCTGTCGTTTCAAATAACACTATGGATAGTTTAACCTTGAGAATTAGACGGATGCAAATTTCAAAATATATAATTTGGTACAGTGGTATTCTACGTACCTACTTTTCATAGGTCCTTTATTGAGTGGTGACACTTAGGATACCGAAAAGCAGAAGTTACCGACGTGAATCGGAGTCGCCATTTTTGTTTACAAATGTAAATGTCACGTGATTTTCATACGCGTTTTGATTGGCTGCATTCATACAACTTGTCGCATGAAAATAGAGCATGACCTATTTCGTACAACTCACGTCCAACAAGTTGCATACGTCAAAAGTTGGACCAACTTGCCCGTTCACACGATGCAATGTGTTGCATGCAACAAATTGGATACAACTAGTTGTACCGTGTGAATGCCCCTTTACCGAGACCAATAAATTCCATAGTAGCAAACAGGAAGGGATTAATGTGACCAACCAAATTAATACCGGTATTCTGTAATGGCCGTCAAGGCCAGAACTGCTTCGTGGAATTTTTTAAAGCCACTGCGGCAAATTGAAAAGCCCTGTGAACCAACACAAAGTGCAAGAAAGAGGGGAAGGACATTCCAACAGTCATGGGAGCTCAAATTTCCATGGTTAGAAGTGCATGAAACAAACAAAGTCAGTAAGATTTATTGCAGTGTGTGTCGGAAGTACGAGAAAGCAGGAGCTTTTATTACAGGTTGCAACAATTTTAAACTAGATACAATCAGAGGGCATGACAAGTCAAAATCACATGGTTTCTAAAGAATGCTGCTAGCAAACAGAAACCTGGCACTTCACAAGCAGAAAAAGCACTTCAGTTGTTAAACTCACAAGTATTTGCCAGAATGTCAGTGCTATTTAGAATAGCACACTACCTTGCAAAGTATGGAAGACCATACTCGGACTTTGCTGGACTGTGCACACTAAATGAGGCTCAAGGCATTGATGTAGGAAAGAATTATCGGAATGACAAGCGATGTAACAAGTTCACAGTAATGCATGACAGTAAAAGTAACTTTGAACAAGCCAAATTTTGTTCAGTCATCAATGATGGTAGTATCGATACTTCTCACACCGAGGCAGAAATCTGTCTAGTACATTTTGCTGTAAGATCCATGTCCATTATATTGGCAAAGCCAATGCAGATGGTATTACCAATGCCCTTACCTCAATTGCATGTGATGGAGGAAAGGCCCTCTGCGGAAGCTGGTGACAATAATGACAGTAATCCTGAATCTGATTACTACAGCGACTCTGATTTTGATGATCTGTCTGTGCAGGAAGAGAGAGCACATGCCCTCATGATGGATGCATTTATTTCTTGTTCATCTGATTGACTTTCTATTTTGTGGAACAGTGGCAAGGACTTATTTTGAGTTTTGTTATCAGTTACACTGTTACAAGTGACACCTCTGATTGTGCTGCTATATTTGTGGAGGAGAAGAAGGCACATGTCCTCATGCTG